ACTGGTTGTTGTGGATTGATTCCAGGATGAATTTGATGATGATTTGTTACCGGTTGATATTTGACTAGTATTACTTTGTGCGGAAGGTCGTCTATCCACTATCGATGCGGGTAGCTAGAAAGAAAAAGAGTTCGGAAAGGATCTAACGAAATTTCAGAAAAAAAAATCCAGAAAATCATCACCCACCTCATTTGTCATTCCGTGATTGTTAGTGATAGGTTCTGCATGTGGAAGTGGTGCTGGAGCATTCCGCAAAGGTGTTTTTCGGGTTGAAACCCTCAACTTGTCCACTCTTCTCTGGTAACCCGTAGATGGACGTTCCAAGGCTGGTCCTGAAATGAATTTTTAAGCTAATTTTATGATGTTAATAGAATACATAACATTTATCGATTAACACTTGCAATTCTTATTTTAAATTTAGAAATTTTTCTTTTTATTTTGATAATTTTGTGAAATTCGATGATGAAAGTAGACCTTTCCCGAGTAAGATGTCTTCAACCTTAACCATCCCATTCGGAAGAAACTCACGTGTGGTATTCGGAAGACCTTGGCCAATGGTGATGTGAAGTGTTTTCCCAGCTGTCTTTAATTCAGCTTCTTGACTTAAACCGGATACATGGAATGTTACTTGTCGGGTTCCGCCACCAAACTTCGACTTTTTAAGGGTAATCGTATGTGTTTGTGCGAATTCCAACTGTAGATTGCCTCCACGTGTTCGTTCTTTGAAGAGTCTACTGAAAAAGGGTAGGTTAGGTAAGTAGTACATCACAGTCTTTGCTTTTTTTTTTCTAAAAAATAACTTCAGGATGCTTTGCCTCATTTGGAAATAGATTTACATTTAAAAATATTAAAAATTAGTATCAAGATTAGTAAGTTCACTTCTATACCCAAAGAAAGAAAAGGGTTAAACTTAACTACCAAATATTAAATGTTACTTACATTGTTACTTTTGCACATATTGTAACCCATATATGCTTTCTCATAAGACAGCTTTAATTTAGTTTATTTTCACACATATATTTGCATTCATTCACAAATGTGACAGGTTACTTGATCTCGAATTTACAGTAGTGACGTTAGTTCATATCAGTTGTGCTTCCTTTTTTTGCTTCCTTCGTTATTTGCGAAGTTCTTCTTTGATTATTTTCATTTATTTCTTTGATTCATACATTAGTAGGCC